GACCCACAGGTTGAGAAACCCTGCCCTATGGGAAAAAGCAGGCAAGTAACCCCTTTTAACTGATGTAGAAACTGAGTCAGAAAAAGTAAGTGACTTATCCCTACAGTGTTTAAAAAAAAACAAAACACGAATTAGGGATGGAATAAGGACATCTGACTTCTGGTCCCTAGTGGATCAAGGGATCAGGCGCCAATCACCACATTCCGACAAAAGGCAATAAAACAGGTGATATGCCGCTTCTGACAAAAGGCAGTAAAATAGGCCCGAACAAGCCACCGCCTCTGCTCTGAGGGCATAGCCTCGGTTTACCGCAGCTCAGGCTCACTGTCCCATCCCTAGAGCAAGACGTGCTGGCAAGGGGGCCCAGGGGCTGCCCCACCTTCAGGAAGAGGGTGGGAGGCAACAGAGACAGCAGGAAAGTTAGCAGCAGGCAGGCAAACGGGGGCTTGGGGAAGGAGGGGTGCAGCTGGGCAGGCAGGTGGTCTGTCTGAGGACTAATCTAAAAACCTGATGGATGAAACCTGCCCGGCAGCTCCGAGACAGAAAGGCCTGGCGATCTGCTTCAAAGAAACTCATAGCTGGTAGCGGCCATCACCTCGGCCGCAGACACCCTGCAGCAGTTCTACCCTGTAACACAAGGGGTCGCGCTGAGTCGAGCTGACTCACTGGCAGTTCTCTGGACTTTTTGGTGTAAGTGGGAGATGGGGAGACTTCCTAGTCAGGCATCTGCCGCGCTCCCACCGCACACCCCCACCCCCACCCCCGCAAAACCCCAGGGGAAAAGAAGGGGCTCTTACGTACATATTCTTTAGGTTCTTAACGGCCCAGGTTTCCTGCTGGGGACTGTTCCGCCTGGGTGGGGCCACTCCCTCCCCAGGGCACTCAGGACTGCTCTCCCAGCCTAGCACAGGAGGGGCTGGAAAAGCATTTTCCCAAAGGCGGGGCTGCTGAGCGCGAGCCCCCTCTCCCTCTCCGGGCTGTCAGTACGCTCCTCGCTTATTATGTCTTGAGCAAGGGCCCAGGGGCGGCGCGGCGTGCAGAGGGCTGGCTGGGGAGGCTCCGCGCCCCTTCCCCAGCCCGAAGTTCCCGGCGGCACAAGGCAGCCCGGGGCCTCCTGGGGACTGCAGAGCAGGGGAACAGCCCCGCGGCTGCCGCCAACGGCTTACGGAGTGACCTCGGGGCTGAAACCGCCCTCCCCACCTCTCCCGCGGCTGCTGCCTTTTTGTTCCCAACAGTAGCTCTCCCGGAGTAAAAGCCGCGACAAGCTCCTCGGGCCGTCTTAAAATTCTCAAGCCAGATCGCTCTCCGCTGGCTTTCCAAACGCAAGGGCTTGGGGG